ACACATACCAATAAGCCAAAGAAGCAGCAAAGCCCTGCCAATTTGCCAGTATTCTTTTTCTTCAGTTAGACTCTTTCTAAATTTACATGAAAAATTTCAGCTATACTGAAGGGTAGGAAATTACAATTTCTGGAGACTAAAACCTTACAATTTTAGAGAAGCCAAGTGTAAATGAGTAACAAGCAGAAATGAGCAAAAGAGGAGTCATACAGCAAATTGGCTGCCTCACATGCCCTCTTATGCAGTTTTTTAATGGGCGGTCTGCATATGAACCTAGAACATCACACATCAGAAAAAACTCTCAAACAATTAGCCAATATATGTAACTACATCTCTGGGGATGGAAAAATCCTATGCATGGAAAGAACACTCATAATGCAGAGTGGATCAGTACTTGGTCAAATATGACCAAATATTTTTATAGAACAGTAGTCATCTTCTGATTAATATATAGGTGAATCTGTGACACCAGCTCTTTCAGTAGCAATTTTTTTTAATCAGAAATGGAGCACTGTCTGCTGGTAATTGATCTCTGCACAAATACACCACAAAATGAATATCAGGGTTTGTGTTATCTAACATATTTTGTCTAGCTTGAGGATCTAACATGTTTTATCTAGCTTTCAGCTGCATGCAAACAAGGTCATTTGGGTAAAGATTAGACATACGTGAAATTAAGCACTGCTAGCCAAATTCATCCTTTTCTGGCTTAAACCAAGTTACAAGTTTGGTCAGAAACTATTGTTTTGCAAGCAGAAAACATCATAATGCAAATACTAAGGGTATCACAAAAAAAGTACTGGAATGCACTTAAAACATCAACAAGTCCATCTATAACTGCCACAAAGAACTAGCTCTGGCTTCACAAATATTTCTAACTCTTCTTTAAATTTCCAATTGGCTAATTTAATTATCTGTGCACTTGCTATACAATCAAATCCAACAGTCTACCACCATAAAAGTATCAACAAGAGGAAGTACTGTATAGAGGTGTCATTGTGATATGCAGATGTGCTGCCCTTTGCTATTTTTTTCTTTTTCTTTTTGAAACTGTGCTTTCAACACCAACTCAGACTAAGACAACATTTCAAATACCTCTGCACATTTTGCTCATTCCTAGCTCGAAATCAGAATTTTGCATCTGCAAACTATCATCTTTTGGTCACTTTGCAACTTAGTCACCTCAGTTGTCTTTGGAAAATTTTATGAGCAAACTCAAGCATGTGCCGTGTAAATGCCTTAACCACCTCAGTTTGTAAAGAAGTTCATCTTATGGAAGAATAAAAGATGCATATGTTCTATCAGGTTTATGAAAAGTTTATGCATGCTGGCTTGTAAAAATGTTTATGGCAATTGTGGCATAAAGACTTATAAAGGCCTATAAAGGAAGTATAGCTTTTCACTCTTTACAGACACATTAGCAAACTTGTCATGCAGGTAGACACAAACAAATGTTTGAATTTAGAAGCTCTCTTTCCAAAAAACTTGGAAAAAAAAAAAAAGGTTAAAACAGACACTTGTGACAGACATCCTCCACATGATGTCAAAAGCCCACTATTAATGCTGACCTTTGCTAGACATCATCTTTTTTAAAAAATATTTTTGAAAAAAAATGTATTCATTTAAACACTACTATTTAGATTTCTGCTTTTATATTTCAAGAAAAACAACAAAGTTTTCAGGAAATACAGCTTTCATCTTGGCCAACATTTTTATGGATCATTCTACTGTTGCTTGAGGTGAGTGATAACAAAGCAAAGCTCACAAAACAAATCCATGCAGAGTCAGGCCTTCTATGTCTGTAAGCCTACTATTGCTGTAGCTAGTGATAAAATATTTGCCCTTCAACAACCACAGCCCAATGAGTGCTTCTTTCCTAATCCATAATCATTATGCATGCATTGTTCCAACAGTCAGCTTTGAACAATTTGACTCTTAGGCTTCTCCGTTAAGAGCTTAAAAGGCTTTCACTTGCTGTACCCTCCTTTTTTTGCTACACAAAGAAAATTGCTGAGATACATCAAATACTGGTTTGCTAAAGATATTATCATATGAAACCTGCTTACTCAAACAACATGCTCTTCCTATAAAGTACAGAGCACAGAACCATGACATGAAGGATGACAATTTTGATGTACTCACAATGGGCAATGGTATCTCAGTGCATGTCCCCAGCTCACGTTTAAATGCACATCCTGTCTCATGCAGTCTAGTAGCACTCTAACCCTCACTTTTACAAGGGATTAACTTTCACTAAACTGAAACTGCACCCTTTCAATACATGAATCTCTGTTCTGCATTTCTTTTGTGATAACTTGCATTTCAAATGGCTGCCTGGTTTTAGTTTTGGTGGACTTTTTTTCTTAGTTTATTTATATTTTTAAAGGAAGGTTATCTTGAGTTTCCAAACTATTTTCCAGGCATACACTCGTAAAAAATAGGACTTACACATACTTCAGCCCAAAGTAATTTTTGCAAAAGTTTGCAAACAAGAAATCATTATTTAAATTTATGCCTCTTTAGAGAGCTTTCCTATTAAAAAAAATCTGATAATATTCCAAAATAATACTTTATTTATAAAATGTCTTGATTTTCAAAAATACATAGAAATTTGTAAACAAAATTTTGCAAAGATTTTTTTGCTATGAGATTATTACTGTTCCAGTTTGTTACATGTAACAAGAAGCCTATTGTCTTCACACTGGCAGCATGTGCAAAAACTAACAACATATTCTAAGAGACATTTAGGCATGACAGACGAGGAAACTTGCTTAGACAAAAATAACTGAAGTGCATCAATGGTCAAAAGTTTGAGGCATTCCCTTTTTTTTCCAAACAGAAAGGTACAATGAGAAAGATTCAACTGATGAATCAAACTAAAAAACCAAACCAAAACAAAACAAAAAAACACACACACAAAAAAAAACCAAAACCAAAAAACAACAAAACAAAAAAAAACCAAAATGCATCAATTAAAGAAAATAAACAGTTATAGAAGTCTGATTGAAAACTGTAGAAAAGGAGGATGCAAATTGTTCCAATTTGCTTTCATGCTGAGAGTATTTGCCATGCAGGAGGAAAAGTCAGTAATTTTTCTCCCACTTCCAACACACAATAACAAAGACAGACCTTGAGCAATTTTCTAAGATACTTAAACAACAGATGTATAGGTTGTCTTGTTTCTAGCCTTTTTGTCTTGTTATTGAGCAACACTGAAAGCTTCTTACAGCTAGCACTTCACCATGCAACTTTTCTTCCAGATGTGAAAGCATGGTTTATTAGCTTGTAAAACATCTGCATGTTTTTACAAAGGCTGGTTCATGCAAAAAAATCAAAGTAAGCAACATAAGCAGAAGAATTAGGTTTTTTTTGCATTATCATTACAACAAAAACTGTGTGAAGAAAAAAAATGCTAAAAGCAAATTTCTTCTGTCCATACATAAAGTGTCAAAGCATTCAGTCCCTCAGCAAACAAATATTAACTAGCACATAGAATATTGAGTTAAACCATGATCTGCTTTATTTCTCCTCTGAAATTCCATCATTCTGTTTTGCAAGGATTTCATATAACTTCTGCTTTGTTTCTCACTTTTTTCCCCTATCTTTTCAACCATAATACCAGACTACAAAACAACCTAAATATGTCGTTTAGTTAGTTTGGAAGTCCTAAACAATACAACTTAAAAATCAAAACAAAGGCTTCAGCCCCCTCACAGCTGATTTGGAGCTGCCAGAACTCGCACACCCAAGGAAATACATCTTTTGAATACTGGCTGTTCTAGGGCACTCTAACAGAACCAGAAGGGAAGCAGAGGGAAAGAAGAGGAAGAAAAAATCTGTGAAGGAAAAATATGAAGGAGTCATAATGACAGGCTTGAAAATTAGGGAAAAAAACTTGAAGATTAAGTGTATGGATAGTAAAGATATGCTGGTGAAAGAAAAAAATTCACACTTTCATTTTGATTTAGAAACACAAGTACTCTAAAGGTTTGTGGAAAAACGTTTGAAGATATAGAGACAAATCAGTGGTGCTACAACACTGAAGATGGAATAAGAAACTTTACCAAAAGTCAGCTTGAGAAGACTGTTTAAAGGCTTCTTAACATTCATAAGACTAAAACCTAGTAACCCAGTATAACTTCACAGTATGATTTCTGTGCTCATTTTGTATTGTTTTGCTGATTGGGGTGAGGGGATGTCTGGTTGAGTTACTCAGCACAATTATAAATCTCTGTAATCTCCAGATTTCTTCCTAATTAGTGAATTTAGCCTATCGATACATATTCTAACAGAGAAAAGCCGTGAACTTCAATCTATGAATTAGCAGGATAAACTATAATGGCATCATCAGAGACCTCTGAATGCAGTCTCGCAACGAGAATCTTTAGGACTTAAATTATTTGCCAGGATATTGAGCATGGCACAGAAGGTGAAAGTAGACAGCCCGAATTCTGTATATTAAAAGTGCTTGGTGTGTCACAGCCTTAAATATTAGCAAAAAAAATTGAATATTTATTAATACTGCAATTTTGGTTAAATATAAGCTAACTTCAGATCTTGTTTCTAGTAGTTTAGGAAGGTAGATAAAGTCTGTAAACTTAATTAAATCATACACAAAATGTTCTACAAATCACAAGGATGGCCTTACCTGAATGCATTTTACTTTTATGTGTTCAACTATATAGTATTACTTTATGAATTGAAAGGGACAGTACTGAATCTAAATGTAGTTAATTTTAAATTGCATTAATGAAAAGACTATGAAAATCCACTCTAAAGCAATCACAGCAGAATAACACTAGGTCTGTATTGCCTGGGACAAAGGCTAATCCAGAATTAAAATGGATAATATGACTTATATAATAAGAGGCCTCAAAAAGGACAAAAACAGATGCATATTTATGTGTAGTCATGAAGCTTATGAATATCTTGATTATCTGCTTTAAAACATCTGCTTACCTACATCATCCAGAGAAACTAAGGAAATAAATAAAACATACCTGTATTAGAGAGAGATCCTCAAGGTTCAATCTGAAGAGGTAGTTTCTGGGGTTAAAAAAATAGTAGATAAAAATTAATTGTTACTAGTGTTGCTTAAAAAAGTGTTGCTAGTGTTTAAATAAAAGCAAAATTAATGCATGTAAAAGACAGGAAAAAAATTAAAAAGTAACAGGTATTCAGGGCTTCAAATTCTTTCAGGGACTGTCTTAATGTATAGCCCTTTGGGCTAAGGATTAAGTTAATTTCTAAAACAGATTTTCGGTTTGAAGAACTGGCTGAATGTGAATAATGTAGATATTTATACTGCATGAATGTACATCTGATTCATTGCTCCAGTCTTCCTTTAGAATCAATGTGAAGAAATACTCTGTGCTTTGGCAGATTCATTTCACCAGGGTCAGATATCTACATGAGAATAAGAGGACAGGTAGGTTAAAGCTGTCCATTTCTCTCCACAAAGAGATGCAATTAGCTCAGCCACATATATGTAAAGTTTGAAGCAAAGGATCCCAGTATGATGGACTACCTATAGAAGCCTCAGAGCTTATACAATTCTGAATGAAGTCCTGTCATACATGATTTAATTTCTTTGAAACCTGAGATTTTTTTTCCCCACGGACAGCAGGAACTACACACAAACCAACCAAGCATTTTCAAAAGCCTGTGTGTTTATTGCAAAAATATTTCTCACTCCACTTTTTCTAAACAGCAATATCACTGCAGCTACAGAACTTGGGAAGAGTTCAGGCAAACCGCAAGACATTACACAAAGGCACTGCTTGAAACCTGGGGAAAGGATGGGGTTGGTAGACTCAGAAAGGTGAGGGTGCCCCACTGACCAAAACTACTTCCTCCAGTCCATACTGGTGCAATAGGTGCATGCTATCACAACTCCTTCTAATACATTGTGTCTATCGAGTTAAAGCAGCTGTCTTGTTACCCATGTTCTGATAAACCAAGTGCATTGGTAGCCCTCATGGTGTCAGCCCGCGACCCTCAAAAAAATGAGCAAATATCACACCATCTTTCAGCTGATTTCAGCACATCCTTCCCTAGCATAGATTGTCTTTTTTGCTAGGTCTGAATACGGCTTTTCTATGTTCCATGTCCATATCCCTCCTGCACCATTTTTTTTGTTTCTTTCTTAGTTTCTTCTCACACTTCTTCTTTTCATTATTGTTTTTTTTCCTACATTTTCACAGAAATAACATTCTTCAGTCCTCGTCTGCCTAATTTTTACCTTATTTAAATCAATTTTGATTTTCCAATGCCACTACAGAGTGATTATGTCTTAGAGATTAAATAATTTTTAAATAATAATATAAATTACTTCAATTTTAATTTAGTCATAAAATATCTGTAACATCAATTTATAAGATTTTAACAGATTCACTGAAAGTAACAAAAAACACATGATAAAGAGATGAGTAAATTTAAACTTTAAATATTTGCAATATTCACAGATTATCTGCAATATTACCTCCATGCGAGTAGTAGAAGTGTAATCAAAATTAAAATTAGGCCACATTTTGAGATAAAAATTCTTTCCAAAGAGGTATGAGGTATTGTTAATGGGCACAGATGGTCAGGACCTGCAGTTTACATCCCTCTTAATTTCTTTTAAATGAGACAGTAGGGAAGCAGAAAGGAACAAAACCAAATTGTGTCTTACTCAGAAACACAATCAATGTCATGGCAAATTTAATTTATGGACTTTGGGAAACAGCTATGTGTATTTATTTATCAACTCTGGTACTTCTATGGTCTACTTAAATTGTGGCTGTACAGGAATCGGGTCACTAGTTTTTCCTAGGAGTATTGCTAAAGAGGGTTACTAAAAATACAGGAGTCGGCCTAATAAGGGCAAGAATTCATGATAAAGTAAAATAAAGACAGAATATTTATTATTAGCACAGGTAAATCACCACAAAGAAATAACTAAAATACTTGGGTTTGAGTGAGACCTGAACTGGGTAAACAAAGAAAACAGTACATTGCAGAACAGTGTTTACACAAAGCTTCACCAACAAGCTACATGCAAGTGGACTTGAAAGACTTTCACCAAAACACCAGGAAGCAATGCATTTCTAACACATCTCCACCCTCTCTGTAAGGACAAAAAAATAACTTCTGCAAAATGTCTTGCTCAGAATTATTCAGCAGGGAACATAAATACTTAGTGTGCTCCTCATCTCAGTATATATACATTTCCATCAATTGTCACTGTACTACTTTCACTCCAGATATCATAGAAACCTACTTCATTGCTGTTGCAAATATTTTTTTTCACCTACAGAAAGAAAACTTTTTTTCTTCCAGAGAAACCAAACTGCATCCCCAGCAGGTATAAACTGTTTTCTTAACCCAGTGTATCAGACTTACAAGAGTGGCACAGAAATGCCCCATCTCACCCTACAAATGCAGTCGCTGTTGCAGAATATATGAGCAGACAGTGTGGCTCACACTTTTAAGTTTAGGGTCAGTACTTCATGTAGTGTCATTTCCATCTGTATGTGTACTTTATCTTCAGATATCTACTGAAGATTTATCTGTGATGAGGCCTTTTTAGGACAGATTATCAAATTATTAATGTCTTTTTATGGTCTTTCATTCTGACATCATTTCAGCCTATTAAAAAGTAATCTATTGTCCCAAAATGTAAAAATTCTAAACTAATAAATGCATAAACATACTGTCAGCCTGAAAAAAAACAGAGATTCAACATTTCCCTTGTTTTTTTCTTGAAAAATGAGATTTGTACCCTATTCAGTAGAGCACAACACTTCTACATATTAATATATTCAGTGTGATATTAGAAAAATTCACCCTGTGTTAGTGAGACTAAAATGTATATTTTCATGTGAGTGAGTCAAGAGACTGAGCTAATTAGTTGACATTTTTCAACTTCCTGTGGCTGCCAATAACCAATTAAAATATTATTTTCAGCTTCATAAAACCAACAGAAAGAAAATGGAATAGCAATGTGCAAGAGACAGTACAACATTACACCTTAGCAACATAAACTGGGCAAATGGACAGCACAGATTGGCTGTGACTACACAAATAATGCTAGGATAAGTGGCAAACTAGCACTCCGAGAGCAATCAGGGCTCTTCCTACCTAGATGGGCCCATTTCAGTAAAACTTGCAGGACTACACTTAGCTCCACAAATACAACAGTTGAACATTCTAAGACGTGCATCTCTAACATGCGAGAACTCATTCACTCATTCAGATAGGGCACATATGAGAAAAAAATAAGAAAAAAAAAAAGGCATGCCAGTAAAAAAGCACAATGGAAATGTAGAATTAATATATCTGTCAGTGCAAAGAAAAAGTCAGTGCCAATTTTCATTACATCTGCAGAGCTGTTACGGTGACATAGGTGACAACACTTTTGCAATGTGTTATTGAGATTATGCCCTGGACCACCATTTTTCGACCTCTGGTCAGCTTTATTCTAGTGCATTTATGCTTGAAGGCAACAAAGGATGCGAAATAAGAATGAAATTACATTTTTGAAACACAGATACAGACTTCTTAGCACACAGGCCTGTCTCATTTCCAAATATGGTAATAATAAGCAAGACAAATACAACTTTGCATGCTGGAATTAAAGTGATTTGACAGTGGTGATAATTGGCAAATTTGTTTTCATTTGGTGCTTAATGAATGAGGAAAGCAAATATGTTACATAAATCTGCAAACAGAAGGACACTTAATGAGAAGAAAACACAACTAACACTGAGAAAAAGCAGTATCCTGTACTCCTTCAGAGATCTAGCAGGCAATAAGCATTTTGCTTTACATTCATGGCACTGAACAACTTTTCTAGCTCAACTATGATTACTAAAACCTGTTAGTCATGAGCCTGTTCAAATCCAAGGGCAAAGACTTCCACTGATATCAGTGGGAACTGAATGAAAACACACAAAAAGCGTGCTCCAGTCACGTCCTTGATGACAATATATTTTAATTTATTGCAGTGTGACTACAGATAAAAGTACAAAACTAATCTTCTTTACGTTCCTAAACAAGTCTGTGTCAAAAAACAACTGAAAACCCATAAAGATTCAAAAGTATATCAGGTTAGTAATGGTTGTTAAATCCAGCATTTTACCCTTTTCTCTGTGAAATTGCAAGTTATAAAAGCTGAATGGAACAATAATAAATACTCTTGCATTAAACACAGACATGAATTAGAAGAACATTAAGATGGCACATACAGTTCAGGAAAACATGGATTCAGGACGAAGCTTTTGAAAAAAAAGATGGCAAAATATATGCCATAACATAGCATAAAAACCTCCAAAACCCATCCTCAGCCCCCACATGCATCTGCAATTGGAAGTCTGAATCAAAAAATAGCGGTTGCAACAAACTCAGAAACTCAAGGTAAGACCAGACATGCTGACAAATCTCCTGAAAATAAACCAGTAAGAGATTCCTTTCTCTTCACTTCTTTCAAGAAACTATTTCACCTGAAAGAAGAAAATTTTATTTAATTTGTTGGAAGGAAAAATATTACAAGTGAAAATGAAAAGTATGAGCTGTGGAAGAATCAACCATTAAGTAAAAAGTCACAATTCCACAATTAAGATGGTGAAGTTCTGTGTAGCAGCCAATTCTAATTCTGCAGTGTAGTAAAATCAGCAATTGGAAATAAAATTTAAAAAAAAAATTTAAGAATAGGACAAAAGGAGATAATCAATATAAATTAAAAAATATGATGTAGAAAATTCATTTGGTTATATTAAGAAACCATAGGAAAAATACCTGAAAAATCCAGCGATGAAACACTGGAAATAAGAGAAACCTAATCAAAGTGGTCTAGTTGAACCATTTATGAAAACGGTCAATTTACAATAATAAAAAGAAGAATAGTCAAAAGTAATATTTTGTCTGCACTTTGCAGGAAATGAAAGCCTCAGCAAATCAGAATAATGAAATGAGCGTCTTACTGGTAAACGTTAAAGCTGTGAAAACAGCATATGCACAGATTTAAATATTTTCAGACTAGTAGGTCATGATAATTCAATTTAAAA